TCCAGGGCCTTTGCACTGAGCTATATCGTCAGCCCTTTAAATTTTTTTTGTTTCATTTTGATAATTTTTTAGGGGTACTAGGAATTGAACTCAGGACCTTGTACTTTGCCAGGTAGGCATGGCATCACTGAGCTACATCCCCAGCTTTTCTTTTTCATCTTGAGACAAGGTCTTTCCAAATCACTAAGTTACCCAGGCTGGGATGGAACTCAATCCTCCTGCCTCTGCCTCCCAGGGTGGTGGGATTACAAGTATGTACCACCATACCCCACTACACGTTTGAGTTGGTATTTTGGGGTTTTTTTGTTTGTTTTTTTTGGTTGGTTGGCTTTTTGTTTGTTTTTTGAGGCAGGATTTTGCTATGTAGTTCAGGCTGGCCTTGAACTCACTATGTAGCCCAGGACATCCTTGAACTCAAAGGGATCCTCCTGCCTCAGCCTCCCAAGCACTGGGATTGCAGGCACGTGCTACCATGCTGGGCTGCCATGAAACTTTTAAATGAGCTCAAGAATCTCTTGTAGCCTATCTCAAAGACAGTACTTTCCCATTAAATGGGTGGCTCAATACATTGAAAAGAGACACACAGTGCTAACGATAAGACTAAACCACTGGCTCGCTGTCACCAGTCCCTCTCGCTGTCATCTGCCCCTCCCCCACTGTTTCCTCTCTCACCTTCATCCGCTCTTCAACCACTTCCACACTCCCCAAGATCCTCTCCTCTCCCTCAGCACTCCCCTCCTTTCCTCACTGCCTGGGCCTTTCCTAATAGTTCTTTTGAGGGTCAGAGTTTTGGTCTAGCGCTCCTTGGACCCCCGTCACATGCTTCTGGGGCCTGGGCTGGCCTGGGAAGAGATGTTAGCTGACAAATGCAAAGTTTCCTTGAGGGTTTTCAACTGGCACAGAACAACCGCCAGCCTACCAAAGGCCGTTCCTTCGATTTCCCCCTCAGGGGGACAGGAAAGCCGTACACCTCCGCGCTACAAAAAGTACAGTGGACCTCGTTTGGTTACTTTGGTAGATTTGAACAAACGTCTCAACAAACTCGGGGATGGAGGAATTGAACGATGGCCCTCCAGCTCTGTCTTTGTGCCTGGACTTCCTGAGGCTCGGCACCTGGTAAACGGACCGCAGTAGCAGCAAGATATTTCTCCTGAATAGCCTCCCTAACTGACTCGTGGGCTAACCAGAGAGCCTAGAAAAAGATTAACAAACAAACAAACAAACAACAGCTGCTTGAGTTTCAGATTGCAAGCAGGAAACTGCCAAACAAATGTACCGTAAAGGACACCCCAGCTGCCCCTACGCACAACCAAGAAGCCTACTTTTCGCTAACTATACAGGCCACTTAAAAAAATAATATAATTTATGTACAAATGCTGGTCACAATTAAATTCTGACAAGGGTGCTTTACCCTTTCCTTCCAAACAAAACTATGGGTGCTTTGGTGGGTATTCAGAGGATATCTCCCTACTTCAAACCACCAAGCAGGGAATTAGATATTAAAATAAGGAATGTACCAGTCAGAGCTCTGGCTGATGGTGCAGCTGCTCTGTCTGAGGTCCTTAAATCCCCCCACCTTCAGTGTTCCCTCTCGAGCCCTGAACGGACCCAGATGGCTAAGGCAGCTGACAAACCTATGTCAGATCCCAAAGCTCTGCCCCCTGCTTTCCAGCTAGGCCCCTTCTTGGAAAGTCTCTGTTTCTTACTCACTGTTTCAGCCTCTATCCATCTTCTGTTGCATTTTCTGGAAGCATATCAAACCCTTATCTTTTTTCTCCCCAAGGGCTGAAGCTAGAATTAACTCCACCAGAAGACTGCCCTTCCAGAATGAGCCCCTACCCAGGGGCACCCCCCTACCTCAGGAACCTATGTGTCCTGCTCTCCAGGAACTGCCCGAGAACCCCTGAGCTCATTCCAACACTGATGCTGGCTTTATCCATTCAGCATCTCCAATTAATGCCCAAGTGGATCATAACAATCCACTTTCCAGTCCTCTCTCCCAGCAATCCTCTCTCCTTCAAATCCTCAGGCCCTGGCTGGCTTGCAACCTACAACTTTATATTTAAGAAACTTGTCTTTACTCTCCATCAGCCCCTGCACCTCTCCGTCCTGTGTGACATGAACTCAATGACCGAGTGCAGAGATTGGATCATACCTTGTTGTCCAGTGTTCTCCCAAGAGCCCATACTTTTCAGTTGTTGACTTCTGCAGCACTTTGTCCAGTATACTAGCGCGCCCTGACTGGCAACCTCTTTGCTTTTACCTGGAAAGTCTTTCCCCAAGCATGTACTGGTTGTGGAGTGTATCTAGATGGCCCCTTCATGCACTCTTAGGTGGAGCTTTTGACAAGTGCCTGGATTTTCATTGCTGTGACAAAAAAATACCTGCAATGAGAAACTTAAAAGACAGAGATGTTTATTTCACCTCATGGTTTCAGTGTTTTAGTCCATGTTCTTTGGCGCTGTTGCAGCACAGCACATCAGAAGGGGAGTGTGTGCTGAAGGACGACTGTTCACTTCATGGCAGCCAGGAGGCAAAGAGAAAAGGAAGGGGTCACAGTCTCAGTGCTCCCTTCAGGGCATGCCCCGGTGACCTTCTGGAACCTTCTGGAATGATCTAGAACCTCGGAAGCTTCCACCATTCCCAATAACATCACAGCCTGGCAACCAAGCCATTAGCCCTGAGCCTCTGGTGGATGTTTAATATCCAAACGACAACACTGTCCAACTCTGCTGCTTTGCTTCCTCTTCTAGACCATGGTATTCCTTGTGACTGAAATGCCTCTGCTGATCAGCTCTTCACCCCTCGGCCGGACTTCCAAGAACGCTCCTTGTCTAAGGCTATGCCTGGTCTACACGTGGGTCTTAGCTCAGACAGCCTGGTGGTCATTAGCTAGCTAGATGTGCCACAGCCTCTCTGGATGGGTCCCTTCCAGATGCCAGGTCTGTATCTCATGCCTTCACGAGCGCGTGCCTTCTCTTCTGGCTAAAGATAGGGGCTCAGCCTTCGTGCAGCCTGTGTGCCCTCGGAGTAGCACACAACTTAGGAATACTCCAGAAGGGAGAAGGTTTTTAACTTCCGTGGGACAACAAATTACAAGAAGAAGGGCTGGGGATTTAGCTCGGTGATTCCACCGACTGCCTCGCAAGTGCAAGGTCCCGAGTTTGATCTCCGGTAAAAGAAGAAGCCGTGTTCTTGTCCTTGGATGCCCTTCAGGGTCCATGGGTGGTAGCCATCTCTAAAGTCCAGAGTTACTCCTCTGCACAGGCCAGGGACAGCAAAGGAGGCGGACTCGCCAAGGGCTCCCTCCCGTTGAAGTCATGGTCACTCCCCGGCCTAGATGGACGACGCCAGCTGCTCCCAGGGTGGCTGTCTTGTCACGAGGCCTACAGGAGCTGACTTCTAAAGGCTTTGCTGTTCCACCGCCTCCTCGGTTCCAGATGTGTGCCACGTGCTAATAACAGCCTCACACTACTGCACCGTGGCTGAAGGGGGACTTGGGAGAAACATGGCTGCTTATTTGCTATGAAATGATGTATCTGGGTGGGTCCAAACTGGCATTCCGTCCTCCCAACCCACCTGCAGGAGAAAATACTATCCTTTTGGGGGGGGCAGTGTGTTTTATTTTTTTAATTCAATGTAATTTTTTCCAGTCTTGACCTTTATGCCCAACTGATTTGCAGGAAGTCTGACAAGACTGTCCAGCAGGGAAAGCAATACTACCGGAAACCCTGACCCACACTGCTCACCAAGCATCCCAACTTTTAAAACTGCATAACCAGTGTAATCCTAGAAAATGACTTCATGCTTCTGCAGATCATTTTCCCTTGCCAAATAGTCCTTTTAAAGTGTAGCAATTAGACTTTCTCCCACTCCCTGCCTCCCAAGGATATAAATATATTTTGGTCACTGTTTACACGTTGGGTCGGAGTTTTCCTCTTGCTGCTAGGATACAACCATTGTAGCAGCCAACAGCATAATAGAAAAGATGATACCATGCTGAAGGGTTCCCCAAGAACTTCACAGGGACTGTGGGAGGCGTTTTACGGGGCAAATTGTTGAAAACATTTGTAAAACCTGGTCCACGAGTATCAGCATTTCCGTTGTGTCTCTCGTCCTCGGTCCTCTAGGCTGGTGGAACAAACCCATGATACCATAAAACCCAACTGGCAAAAATGTGCACAGCTTAGCTTGCATGGCCCAAGTCCTTCCCTTAGTTCTCAATCTGTGCCCCACTCCTACAGGAAAACATCGTTATCCTCTTTTGAGATCATAACTGCCCGACACACCGGGACAGAGGACTTCACCAGCATGTGCTCACGAAAGGAGACTTCTGTGATCTGGACCTGCAGTGTCCTCCAGAGGGCTGTGTGCTACGGGTTTGTTACCCAGCCTGTGCACTCTTGAGAGGTGGCAGAAGTGATAGGTGGGGGTGGGGGGCTGGCAAGAAAAGTTAGGTCCCTGGGGCTGAAGGGACACTGGGCCCCGGCCCGTCCTCTTTCTCTCTTTGCTTCCTGGCTGCTGTGAGGTAAGTACCTTTGCTGTACCACACGCTCCCACCATGATGTTCTGCCTTGCCCAGGTCCAGAAGCAGTGAAGTCAACTGAACGTGAGCTGAATCCTCTGAAACCCTGAGCCAGAATGACCTTTCCTCTTTTTAAGTTGGTTAGTGTCAGGTGTTTGTTACAGTGATGGAAAGCAGACTAATACAGAGACTGCAGGCAGCTCATCAACATCCTACAACATAACACTAACTCTGTGGAAGGCTCCTTCGGCAGCGTGCTGCCCGGAGATGAAGGCTCTCCCACAAGACTGTTGTTAGATGAGACACCAGCTCGAAGACTTCCTCCAGGCCGACTGGAAGGGACTTTGGTGGGCACCCTTAACTGTCCCGTGTGAAGCTAAATTAAACCGTAGAGACTCATAGATTCTTACTTCTCCCCCCCTCAAAGCTTGACTTTCCTCTCACGTGGACCTCTCGCTCCATCTCTGATGCTAAGGTCAAGTTGATCAAAACCAGATGACCAGGAAAAGAAGCAGATGAGAGCAGAGACAGACAGCCAGCTCAAGGGCCCGGACCAGGCCAGCAAAATCCCTGCTTCTCCTGCTCCTGTTTTAGGCTCCCCTGCTCCTACCCAAAGAAGTCCCGACGCATGGAGGCTCAGCACTGCCACTCCACCAGCAACCTGCCAGGGGCCGGCTCTGCCACGTCTTGTCCAGAGATTCCTTGTCGAGGGACACTGTTGCAGTTGTCCTCATAACCAATCTCTCCTCGTGTCCCCTTTCACAGACCTTAAGATGCTACCTGCTGAGTTTGTCTGTATCCTTCTCACACCAAATGTGCCGTTTTTTTTCTTACCTACTTAAAGAATCACCCTGTCATGCTCTGTCCCTAAATGCAACAACCCCATGGTACAGTTAAAAAAAGAAAATCATAAGACTGAGTTACAGTCAAAGCACTAACTTGTGCGTGCTAAACATCACCACCTGTGAGTCCCTGGTTCCATTAAAGCCTTACAGGATCCCTGCTATAACAGGAAAGACCCACTATATCACACCCCTGAGTGGACAACTCGGTGAGGTTCTTCTTTTGTTTTTCTTTTTGGTACTGGAGATGGAACTCAGGACCTTGCGCTTGCAAGGCAGCTGTGGTGCCAGAGCTAAATCCCTGGCCTCCTTGGTGAGGTTCTTCTACTCTTCACCCCTGGTATTCCTTTAACTTCGCCCATCTATCAGGATGATGTTACCCCACTCTTCTTACTATCTTAATACCATTCTTTGGTTTTACAATCTCACCAAACATATACCCGCAACTTCCAGAATGTGTCTGCCCTGACAGGTGCCTCCTCCGCTCAGGGCAGTGAAGACAGAGGGCGCTGGACACATAGCTGTCTAACTTCCCAGAAGGTGGGAGGACCACGCCCTCCTCCCACTGGGGTGCTTAACAAATCCCCCCGTCGTTCTCCAGTTAATGACCCCAGCGGCACCCCCTTAGGATCCTCATCCTTGTCTGAGCAGGGCCTATTCTATTATAAATTACTGCCTCCTTGGACGGCCCCTCCGTTTCTAAGAATGACAGCCACACACAGCAGGCCCACACAGCCGAGGGACTCCAGACCCCTCTGGGGCTCCAGTGGGCTGAGAGTTGAAGGAACAAGTCTATTAACAGTGCAGGAAAGGTCGGATTGTGCACTCCCTCCAGGCTGTGCCAGTTCCCATGAGGATCCGACATCCTTCCAAATCTAGCCCATCCTGAGCTAGGCGTGCTGGCACACGCCTGTAAACGCAGCACTCTGAGGCTGAGGCAGGAGGATCGCCACAAGCTCAAGGCCAAGCTGAACTGCAGAGCAAGACCTCAGTCTCAACAAAATAAAACACCAAATTTATCCCATGGACCAGAACTGACCCCTCTGGCTAAATCACTGCTTTAGAAAGCTGGTTTTGCCACCCAAACCTGACCCAGGAGCTGTGGTCTGCACCCAATCCATGGAAACTGAGTGTTTCCCCTCTTCCTTGGCATCAGTGGACCAGAGTGAGAGCCCAGACGGAGTCCTCCATGTAAGCCTTGTTCCAAACTGTCTTCTTCAAACGTGTGATCCTCCCAAGTAACTGGGATTGTGGATGTGAGCCACCATGCCCAACTCTTCTTCTTGTTTTCAAATATATCTCCCCTATCTCCACCTTTTTTTTGGAGACAGGATCTTGCTATGTAGTTCGAGCTGGTCTTGAACTTCAGGCTGGCCTGAAACTCTTGAGGACCCTCCTGCCTCAGCCTCTGGAATTACAGGTGTGTGCTACCATGCCTGGCTCTACTATTTTTTTTTCTCCTTGTGAATTTTTGCTGACATTGGCTATTGCTTCTTTGCTAAAGTAATCCTTGGAATCCTTCTCATCTTGGTTGTATAAACATTTATCAAAGGCCTGTCCTGCTTCTGAACTGTTCCTTGTCCAGAAAACAATAAACTGGGCGTGGCAGTGTATGTCAGTGGTCCCAGCACTGTGGGAGGCTAAGGCAGGTGGAATGCAAGTCTGAGCCTGGCCTGGGCCGTTTAGCAAGAGACTGTCTCAAAATTAAAAGTGCTGGGGACTTAGTTCAGTGGTTCCGCTGCCTGCCTTGCAAGGACCCAAGTTTGATCCCCAGTACCAAAAAAAAAAAGCTGGGAATGTAGTTTGGTGTGAAGGCCTTGGGTTGAATCCCACCACAGCAAAATATAAAATAAAAATCCTTAAGGAAGTGCGTAAGCCAGGCAAAGTCTACCCAGCTGAAGCGAACAGAAGCAGGAGGGTGAGAGTCCTCAGAGGCGCAGGTGCCCGGGGAGTCGGGAGCCCTGAAGGGGACCAGAGTTACTGAGGAACGGAGACCGCAGGGGAACCGGCAGGGGTGGGAGTAGGGTAAGCAGTGCTCTGACCTCCCACCCACTGAAGCCACAGAGCGAGGGAGCCTACCCCGTGCAGGAGCTAGGAACCAGCCTCGGCACAAGGAAGGACGGGAGAGAAAAGCCAGCCTCCTGAGCCAGGACGCCAGACCGAGTGAGAGATGTGTGCCTGAGCTGCAGGCCAGCCGAATGCCAACAGCTCTTCCCTTTTTAAATATTGATTTATTTGTTTTGAGTCTCAGCTATTTGGATAGTCTACAGATTGCTGTACATCTATCTGACTTGGAGTTGATCTCACAGTTTTGGAGTCATTTGGACTGATACTGGGAAATGAAAGGTATGCTTTATATACTCATAAAGGTGACAGTACAGCCGGGTGTGGTGGGCACACCTGTAATTCCAGCACTCGGGAGGCTGAGGCAGGAGGATCCCCTTGAGTTTGAGGCCAGCCTGGGCTATATAGTGAGTTCAAGGCCAGGCTGAACTACATAGTGAGTCCCTATATCCAATAAATAAATAAATAAACAAATAAATAATAAAATGAGAATGTGCATTTTAAAATTCTGATACTGTGTTGTCATTGTTTCGTTTTGGGACAAGGTCTCACTATATCGCCCAGGCTGGCCTCAGCCTCTAGAGTGCTGGGATTACAGCAGGCGCCACCACCTGCAGCTCCATTTTATTGAATCGTAGGGTGAGTTGGCAGGACATACATTGTGCACAGCAGACAGCTCACAAGCTGAAGCTGAAAGGCGCATAAACACCCCTGGTACTGCGGAGCTGGAGAAATCACTCAGCAGTTCTAGAGAAATACAGTTAGGATGCTGGTTCCGTCCTGCACATGTGTGCTACCCACAAGGTCAGTGTGTATTTCAGCTTTGTGCTACTAAGTTTTATTTGAAAATAGAAGCGAGGTTACCACTCCCCGTACCCAGAGTTTTCGTAGGGCTGAAGCTCCGGATACCCGTGGGTGGGTTGCACCCCCGACACCTGGACACCCGCTTCTCTCCTCTCCACTGCCCCGGCTGTAGCTGTCTTTCTTCACCACCGGGTACATACGTCTTGCATTCTGATCCTTGCTTCGAGGTTGGCGTCTGGAGGAACTCAGGAAAGCAGCAGCATATTTTACCTTCCTACCTGCACGATCCTGTAAAGGCCTACTGTCCTCTACTTGCTTTTTTTTTTTTTGGTTCTTTTGAGACAGGGTCTCACTATGTAGTTGAGACTGACCCGGAACTCGCTATGTAGCCCAGGCTGGTCTCGAACGCACAGCGATCCTCCTGCCTCAGCCTCCCGAGTGCTGGGATTGCAGGCGTGCGCCACCACGCCCGGCATGTCCTGTACTTTCTAACAAGCTGTCCTTTTACTAGAAGTTGAAAAGTCTCCATAGAATTTCAGCTCTATCATTTACTGACCACCTGCCGTACCATTCGCCAGCTTTGCCCCTGGCGCTGTCTTAGCTGCTGCTTCTCAGATTATTTCTCATCAGTTTCCCTTGTGGTCTTTTTCTAAAGCCAAATCAAGGACACACTACAAAACAGAGGCTGTGCCCTGACCAGAACGGCTAAGATACATCATTTCGTTTAACCTTTTCTCCATCCTGGCAGCAGCAATCAAAGCTCTTACTTCTTTTCAGATGGGCTCTTGCTATGTAGCCCCAGCTGGCCTCAGCCTCCAGAGTGCTGGGGTTACAGGTGTGCACCATCCAGCATGGATTTTAATAATAGGATTTGTTTATGTTTTATCTACGGTACCATAATATATACATTTACATGAAGTTTTCTCTACAATTTACTAGATACTTATTAGAACCTTCAGTACTGGGTGGACTAGGATTGGTAGCAGATTTCTTTGCCTTATTCCCAATATTAAGGAACCTAGAAACAGTATTTCTGTTTTAGCAGTGTTTCTCTTATATAAACACTGTACTACTTACTGCCTAGTTGTGATAAACAGTACACTTTTTCATGCAGTGTAAATAATTTTTTCTTTTGAGACAGTATCTCACTTCATAGCCCAGGCTGGCCTAGAACTTGAGGTGATCCTCCTGCCTCAGCCTCCTGAGTGCTGGGATTACAGGTGTGCACCACCACACAGGGCTAATAGAATTAAACAACGAATTCTCATTACTGCTTAGTGCCTATATCTGGGGTAAACATAAAACTAAAGGAAGCATATTTTTAATTTAAAGGATATAAGTAGAACAAATTAGCAATTAAAATATATATGAGTTATTAATTTTCTAATTTTATAGTTAAAATTTGAAAGCCAATAGCTAATTTTCTTTTATTAGGCTACCTAGTGAAGTTCAAGGCCAGCCTGGGCTATGAAGTGAGATACTGTCTCAAAAGAAAAAAATTATTTATACTGCATGAAAAAGTGTACTGTTTATCACAACTAGGCACCATATAATTTTGGAAAAAAACCCTCTGGTTGGCAATTAATAAAGCTGGTCACCCAAATTTATATAGTAAAAATGGTGAAGTTTCACAAGAAAATGTGCATAATCCTTAAAGAGATGGAGTTCTGTAAATGTGATTGCTATTGTAGTGGTAATTATAATTTCCTTTGGGTTTTCTGGAAATCAAGTTCACAAATCAATATGAACAAACCCTGAAATGTGTTAGGCAAAATGATTCACACTGCATCTGTGTGACCCATGGAAACAGGAAACAGTTGGCATTACAGAGTGGGGGCGTAAAGACACACACAGAAACATATGCCTTTGGTGTTTCCCCCAAAATATATTATGCTTGACCTTAATTAGCAGACAAATGGTCCACAAAACTCTAATTTTATTTTGTAAAATAGAGGATCAGGATGTGTGTACTGTGCGCCTCAGGAGGCTGAGGCAGGAGGGTCACTGAGATTTTTGAGGCCAGCATGGGCTTCACAGTGTGTTCAACACCAGCCTGCACTACATCAAGAGACTCTTGCCTCAAAAAACAAAGACAAAAAAATTCCAAATTTTAAAAAAGTTTGCCTGCTATGTGAACTAGTTTGGTGCTTCTAATCAGGTCAACTTTTGTAAAATGGATGAAGCTTAATAACTAAACAGTGATAGTAGAAAAACTTTCAAATTAAACTTAATTTTTTTTTCTTGGTGTTTTGAGCATGATCTTACTTTGTAGGTCAGGCTGGCCTTGAACTCAAGGTGATCCTCCTGCCTCAGCCTCCCCCATGCTGAGATTACAGGTGTGCACCACCATGCCTGGCAAACATTGTTTTTGAATAAGTTATTCTCATGGTTCAAATATCCAAAAGTTCAAGTACAAATAGTGAAAAGCCCATCTCCTTTGTCTTCATCCACTGAATTTCTATAATAGGTCATTTGTCCTCATTTATTTATTCATTTGGTACCACGGATCAAACACGGGACCTTGTGCTTGTGAGATAGGCAGCAGAACCCCTGAGCTAAATTCCTGGCCTAGTTTCTCCTCTTTTAACACAAACATAAGCTAAGATATTATTCAGCACTATTTTATATCGGGGAGATCTTTCTTTTCCCTTTTGGCAAAACTGGGAATTGAACCCAGGTCCTTTCCCAGTGAGCTATGTCCCCAATCCTCTCTCATTTTTATTTTTTGACAGGGCTTCACTTAGTTGATAAATTGCTCAAGCTGGGTTTGAATTTTCGAGACTCCTGACTCAGCCTCCCAGAGTGCTAGGATCACAGGTGTGTACCACTATGACCAGCTTAGGGAAATCTAAACATTAAAACATAAAAAAGTCTCTTTCTTTGATAAGCAGCTGTATGGTGTTCAAATGTACACCTGCATCATAATTAGGGTCCTGTTGATGGGTGTTTAGGTTGTTCCAATCTTCAGCAATTTTTTTTCCATCTTGGGGATTGAACCCAGGGCCTTCCAACTGAGCTACATCTTCAGCCCTTTTTATTTTTTTATTTTGAGACAGTGTTTTACTAATTTAATAAGTTGCCTAGCCTCCAATGTGCAGTCATCCTGCCTCAGCTTCGCGGAGTCCTGGGATCACAGGCCTGTGTCACCAAAACTGGTTATTCTTGAAAAGCTTGTTATGTGTTTGTGTAACAAAATGCCTGAGATAATGAACATATGAAAAGTTTACTTTGACTCACAGTTTGGGGGGCGGGGGGTTCCAGACCATGATCCATCCAAGGCCAGCTTGACCTACATAGAGAGCTCCTGTCTCAGAAAAAACAAGAACACAAACAAAACACCGTATCATTTAGCGGAAATACATGTCTGGGATAAATCCCCAGACGTGAAATTGGAGCTTGGGCATGTATGCATTTGTAATTTTGATAGTTAACTGCCAAACTCCCGTTTCTTCATAGCCTAGTCAAAGCAGGGCTGCCAGAGAGAAATTAAGGTGCTTGCATTTAGAAATATACAATGAAAAGTAGGTTACCTATGAAAGAATTAGAAGGAAAGTAGGACAATTTCATTCAACTCACAAAGTTCATTTTCACTCAAAAATACATTGAACAGAAATTTCTTCCACATCCATGCCAAGAGCTTTCAGGATTATGCGCAAACAAATCAGACTCCATTCTGTATGTGTGGAGTTTACATTGGAACGCTACTTTTTGGAACTCTCTGCTACTTTGTGAGACGCCAGCTAAATGTCAAAATCCGGAAAACAATCTGCTGAGCTCCAGACATATGCTACCAGTGTTATTTAAAAACCAACTGGAGGCAATGTTGCCTCCCTCTGACTTCTCACTCTGTCAGGTCCTTTTGAAACACACACAAGCAAGCCAGCTCTTTTTATCTGACTTCATCTGAGTTGGCGGTGACCTGCACACTGTGGGCCCGCGGTACCATCCGAGATTAGGTTGTGAAACAGGAAGTGAATCTGTGAGCAGATTTGCAAGTGTACGCGAGCTGTTTCATTCTGTCTCTCGGTGAAACTGACGGAAGATAAGGTTATCAGCACATCAGGGCATGGTTTCCTTTTCGCAGTCTGTTCTTGTTTTGGTTTTAGAAAGATCACAGGCGAGTCCATGGAAAATAGTTTCAGAGACACACAGCAGCGACACTCTAGACTGAACAAAGGCGCACTCTGTACGTGCTGCGAGGGCATGGAAAGGGGAGCGAGTTAGAAGCTGAGCGAGACAGAGAAGACCGTGAATGCCAAGGGAAGGGAGCTGCAAGTGCGAAGACGTGGTTTCAGGTTGTCTCTCTTGTTTAAGGGACATCCCCTTTCCGTCGTCATACCCCAAATCCAATACAACGTAGGAGTTGTTTAATTTGATGATGACTTTTTCAAAAAAAATGTTTTTGGTGTCGCCGTGCAGTTCAAGCCGGCCTCTACCTCGAGACGATCCCCCTGTCTCAGCCTCCAGAGGGCAGGGATTACAGGCTTGCACCACCACACCTAGCTATTTGAGAACAAGCGTCCCTAAATTGCCCAGGGTGGCCTAGAACTTGTGAGCCTCCTGCATAAACCTCCGGGTTGGCCGAGATTATAGGAGTGTACCACCATACCCAGCAGTTAGGCACTTTTCTGTTTTAAAATGATACCCTCATCACACTTAGGATAATAAACTACGGTTATTATAGTCTTGCCAATGTCCCAGTGGACGTTCTGCATCCTTTAAAGAACAGCCGGGAGTTCGGCAGACAGTGCTTCATCTAGGGTGTATGAAGAGCGAACCCGAGGGTTCTTGAATGACACGTTGGCTTTTATTTTTCTCTCTGGTCCGTCTTATTAAAATTTCATCCTGGCACCGTCATAGGGACCATCCACAAGTGGTTAGTGAACAGGCGCTTTCTGAATTCCAGACTCTTCTCAGTGTTTAGGCGCCGAACTTTAGAGGGAGAAGGAAGCCTCGAGCCGACACCATCGTTGGACAGCTGAGGCGCAGGTCCCGGCGGAAGCCAGGAGTCCTCGCCAGTCCGCATCCCAGCTGAGAGCTCCCTGCCTCAGCCTCAGGCTCAGGCCCCTCGGGGCTTCGGGCTCCAGGCGGCTCCGCTGGGAAGGAGGGACCCTGGGCCTCCAGGTCTGCGCGCGGCTGGAGGCCGGCG